CCCCATTTTTTTGCTGAACTTTCCTTGAGCCCACCAGTTCTCTCCAGGAAGACTTCCCTTCGTTGGGATCCGAGCCGATCAAGGACGGGATACCCCAGCTTTCATGGAAAATCCCAATCGAAAATGGATGATTTCGAAGGGGTCCAAAGAGACTTAGGAAACCTGGAGGACCTCCAAGTTGCAACTTGGTACTGTAGATACCAAGAATACCGCAGGACTTGAAAAGACATGAACATACTTAGTATACAGGACTAGATTAAGAAGACAATCGGTATGTTCAAGTCTTTTTCAGTGTAAACCGGGGAATCGGTAGTTAGGGGTATCATGAACCACGACAAAGCAAACAAAGAATGATGGTACTAACAACACCAGCAACAGGGAAATCTTGCCAAGAATTTCGGCATGGCACCAGCATACATGACACCAACAAGCAATCGCCTTAAAAAAGGAGTAAAGTCAACCCCAGATCAGTAACGCCCAGTTTGCTGATAGCGTACTAATTTTCATAGTATTATTTGTTTTTATCACCATTTTTGTTGGGTGATGCCCCTCAATTCATACTGGGGCCTATTATAGTCCAGGGTTGACATTGTCATCCCCATACCCGGTGTGACCAATGACCACTGGGGGCTTCAGGGGCGCAAAAGCTCTGGTTCGGGTCCCTCGATGCTGTCTGCGCCTGTCTGAGTGCTCAGTGGGGGATGGGCCCTGCCCGACCTGTTTGAACATGGGTTTGATTGAAATACCCCAAAATTGGATCGCTTATCATCATCATCATCATCATCATCATCATCACCATCATCATCATCATCATCATCCTCATCACCATCATCACCATCATCATCATCATCAACATCATCATCATCATCATCACCATCATCATCATCATCATCATCATCATCAACATCGTCATCATCATCATCATCACCATCATCATCATCAACATCATCATCATCATCATCATCATCATCATCACCATCACCATCACCATCACCATCACCGTCATCATCATCATCATCATCATCATCATCATCGTCATCATCATCATCATCATCATCATACTCCCTGTTAAAAAACTGGCCATTTCGGGTAGCCCCCATTTTCAGACACACTATGCTAGACTCCAGAATGAGAAAATACCATTCCCCAGCCAACATAGACCCTGAGAATCACCTGGGTTTAGAGAAAAAGTCGTCTTGCAACCCCGTTGTGTTGGAGGGCTAGTGAACCAGACCAAACTTGTCTTGATTTTACCATTGGATGGTCCTGGGCACTGGAAGAACCAGATGGGCGACTGGCTTTGCTGAGCCGAAAAAAGTGGCCCATAAAGAAGCAAATCCAAGATATCCAAGTAACAATGAGTATGGAAAGCCAGGTTGCAAGCCTGTTTGTAGGTGCTAGGAAAATTGGAGGTCAAGATCATGATCGGTTACGATCTCGGTGGCTGAAGGAGACGATCATTATATCAGGGATATGAGGGACTAACCAATGGAAGCTATGTTAAGGGGATGCACCTCCAACCCCTCACGAATTACACATCACGGAAGCGCTCATTTTGGCGGGGATCCATGCTCGTAAAAACCTGCAGGCCAGGATGTCGTTTTGTACGGGCTTATGACCCGAAGCCAACTGGATATCGCTGCGGATCTTGCCTTTCCAAGATTACTAGGGAGTGAACCCCAGACTCAACCATAGAAATATGGCAGTGTGTCAAAACCTTGTACCCCTGGTGAACATCAAAATAGCTGGTAAATGGATGTTCATCCCCCTAAAAATGGTATTAATAGGTATTGATCCATACCCATATTATGAAATATTGGTTTGTAATATTTTGTATTCAACAACAGGATAGCGCCAGGTTTCTGCGTATTTAGCTGTGTGTTTTGGGGCCACACCTCGCTGTCCATCGGTTGCTCAAGCTGTTCATGGGAGGCCCAGTTGAACCACCAAACAACTCGCAGGAGCAAAGTTTGAGACATCCAACAGCTGGCTTTGGGGGCCCCAAGAAAAAGAGAAGCTGGAAGATTCAGGTCTTGCCTACTGCGGAAGATTGTAATTTGGGGGTGTTTGACACTGTTCACTGGGCAGAAAATCAAGAATATTTGGGATTTGGAAGGCTAGATGATTCACGATGCACAGTTTCACCAGAAGGGTTTCAGTTCTTAACATGATTTTCTCACATTTTGCTGGACCCCAGTGCTAAGGTCCAAATCCCTAGTAATGTTTGGTGATTTCCATTCTTTTTCTGCCAGACGGTCAGACTCGACTCTCAAGTTCACAACCGGCGCCATTCTTTTCCATGCTTTCACAACCAAACTGCTGGTGCCAACAAATGACGATGATGCCATCATTCAGCCAGAAAAGACTTCAACTCCGGCTCGCCAATGATGCCATGGCCCTCCATGCTGAGCCCAATTTGGGTCCCTTCGGTCCCGCAGCCGGTCCCTTCAAATCGACGGCATCGCAGCCGGTGCAGCCGGTCCACCGGCTGCGGAAGGTCTGGTTCGGAGCAGGCGCTGGATGCATCTGGGGGGATTTCACCAGAAAAAAGTGGGGGTTCAACCAGGCAAAATTCGCATTTTCGTGGATCAAAAATTGGTCCGCCAGCCTTTGTGGTGGTGAGTTTATGGTGGATATATATATATAGAGAATATATCATAACATCATGACATATCAGAATTTGATGGGCGAAACTAATTCAAACTTCTAACTAGGGCCATTGCTTTCCGATATACCGGAGTGTGATGATGTGGTGTTGCAATCTATCTGCGCACAGTACCTATCCTACCTACCCTACCTTGTCCAGTCCTAGTCTATCCTGTCCTAATCCTATCCTATCCTAGGCTCAAACCGTATTTGTCCTTACACCATGTCCTATCCTGATATAAGCTTTCAACCGTATCCTATCCTTAACACGTATCCTATCCGTAAATCGTATCCTATGTTATCCTATCCTATCCCATCCTATCCTATCTATAGTGACACGTTGTGCCACTTGTATTTAGGCAAGTCCGGGCAAAATCGAACCGGTTGTCGCACTGATAGTTGGGTCATAGTGAGGGACAACAGGAGTGATGTCCTCTCAAAAAGGGTCTGTTAAAAGCCGCCTATGTAACATAATCATTGGTCTAGTCCCTTTTCTTGTTGTTCATCATTGACATTTTGGGATTTCAAGGACGTGGAGAACCCCCCGTTAAACCACCAAGCCATGGGTTGTTGCATTTCTTGTCGGCGGCATCCCATGGCTTGGTGGCCGCCAAAGACCCTGGCCGCCCTGAAGTGTGACATGTCTTGAGCGGCCACATGGCCATGGAAGTACCTCCAATCTTTCCTGATTTTGCAATTTTGCTGCTAGAATCAAGAATCCTCCATTGATTCTGCAATCGAACATGACCTGCACAATCCACCCATTTTTTCAATGATTTTTCCATGAAGACCTCCATTTTTTATAGGATTCCCATGGATTTCCCCATGGATTTTCCTTCCACTTTGCCATGGCGGCCATCTCACCAGGCGCTGACGCTCCGCCCAGCGGCCGCCGCGCCGCGAACGGCGCCCTGGTCCCCGCGGTGAGCGGCGCGGTGCTGGCGTCGTTGCAGGGCAGCGGGAGAGGCCTTCAGCTGGTGATGACTTGGGGGATGGGTTGACCACATGGCATACCCTCTGGTGAACTAACATAGCTATTGAAAATGGCAATTTATAGTGGATGTTCCCATTAAACATGGTGATTTTCCATATAGTTATGTTAGTTTACCAGGCCGGGTACCACACGGGATCCCAAATGGTGAACGGAAAAAAAGTCCCGTCCTGACTTGGTTAGGGGATCATCCCCGAACCCATGCCGGTAGTCAAAGTTGTTGGCCAAGAGCCCCCAGAAACCATGATGGATGGTAGGGGATTCTTAAACAGATTTGGGACCATAACTGAGGGTGCTGAAATTTTTAGGGGGATGGGATTACTTCACAAAAAGTGAAGTCTGATTCTGGTGGCGACTGGCAATGTGTTGGAGACCTCAAATTGCCTTAAATCCATTGGTAAGTGGACTATTTTGGTATTCTCAACTTTGTGAAACATTCATTTCACCTGTGAGAATATTTGGGATTATGACAAATCACAACCAACAACGTGCTTTGAGTGATTTCTCCAACTTGTTCTTTGTTCTTATTCTTCAAAATAGCCACAGTGGCTGCGGTGCGGAATTTCGATACCCCATTTTCGGAGAACTAACAAACATTTTGGCAAGGTAAATGAATTACGTTCTCCTCATATTTGATGGTTCAACTACCATTTTTCTTGCCAGAAAATCTAAACTTGTGTCAGTCAAATTCCCATTGTACTGGTCAGAGCTATATGATATATCCTCATTTCTGCTGGTTCTCTCTTCATGTCAAAGTAGGTGACGCACCCATTTCTATCCCATTTCTATTGCTGAAATCCGTCAATTTGGTGATTGGCCCCAACCAGTGATACCCATTCAGATCCCAATAGAAATGGGATTGCAACTATGATGGCTAAAACCCAGCTATAGCTGTTCGGGTTGCCGTCAGTTTGATTTATTGCTAGTCTTTTTTTATGTGTTTTTTTCCTGGTGGATGTATCAATATGATATCTTGTCAACTTCCGAGCCCTCCCAGAATTGATTTTTTAGAAGAACTTTTACTGCAAAACCCCCCCTTCTGAGATTTTCCCTCGCTTCCCGCGGGTAAAACTTCTCGGTTCCCCTGGAGGTGTCCACACCAGGGCTGAAAGCTCGCGACAGACGCGCATCCGCGCGCGTCGCTACACCTCAGTCGACGCTGGGACATCACTGTTGAAGTTGGATCCAACGGGGGAAATCCGAGAGTTCAGGAAGTTCCCAAACATTCATACAAGGTGGGCCCCCCCAGTGATGTTTGTTGGTTTATAAACCCCATGAAAACTATAGTTATTTGCGTACCATAAACCATAGTGACATTGGAGTTATGTTCACCAACTGAACGCAATCTTGGGGGCACCACCTT